TGGATGTTTACACATCTTACACTCACAAATGCCCCATTAGCTATTAGCTTGGTTTTCTAAAACAAAAACAAAACCCAAAGAGAATCCAAAACAATTCCAAAGCTAAACTCCCTTAAAGTTAATACACTGGCCCTAAGGTTTTTTTTGCTTGAAAGCCACCTCAGACAAGGGGCCAGTTGACCATTACAGTGAAATGTCATAAAAGCTTCACAGTTATTAAGGTCAACCCCACATAATACATGATTGGGGGACATATATGTACCTCTCAGAGCTATCTGTGCAGATCTCCAGTTGAGGGGCAGGGCATTCTGCATGCTTGAAAGCTAAGTAGCAAGCAATGGCCAGCCTATGTGTGGCCACAGAGCAGCCTTACGGAGAGTAAGCTCATTTCGGTCATTATGGTTGATGAAATCAGGGACCACCTGGGAGCTCTAAGGGAAGAGTATTCTTATGGTCTGTCACAGAATCCACTAATGAGGACCCAAACCTTGTTAGTTCTGCTGTTTACAAGACTCCTCTGTTTTAGAATTATAAAGTGGTTTGGGTTGGAAGGGACCTTAAAGCTCATCTAGTTCCGAGTCCTTGCCCGATTTAACACTGTCCTCTTCCCAAGACGATAAGGGACAGAGGAGTCTAGGACACAACGAGCTTGTTGTCACAGATGCCAGGTAACCACACTGAGAAGTCTGATAAGTCCATAGTCATGATATGAGATATACACACATTCCTCCTGGTCGTATCTAAGCTATTGGTAAAAAGCTACAAGAAGATGTTTAACACCATGTGAACAGCTGCCAAAATCACTCACTGATTTTCTAGAGGAATTCTTTTACTTCATCAATGCTAATGATCCCTTTCCAAAGATAGTTAAAGACATAAATTTTTGATTATTTTCTTTTAGTTGGCACCATCAACAATCCTTTTTAAATGTTCTTACAATTCTGTACGTAGAAGAAATTGAAATGAGTCATTTATTTGCTTATACTTTTCCTTTGGCAAGTCCAGGTGCCCTTTTGAGTATCAGTTTAATAACCTGGATATATGTTTAATCCTAGATTATACTAAGAGACTGCAAATACAGCATGTTAAGTTCATATAGCAGACCAGAAACATCCAGGACAGACCTTTTCAGAATATCTCATATAGCAAACACTAAAATCATAATCACTGCAATCCGCCTCCTAGAAATGGTGTTCACATCCATTCCACCCAATTCGAAAGAGCAAAACAAACAGAATTGTGAACTGAACTTTGAGCAGAGATGAACTTTTGTTTGCGAACGGTCTGATCAGAACATATAATGTACATATATTCATAAACACTTCTGCTGAGATTTTGCTAAACCAACAACCAAAATGGCCTTAGCTGCTACAGCTGAGAAATAAAATGATTACAGAAGTTTAAATGTGCCGATGAAATTGAGAATGGTGGAAGATGTACAATTAATTCTTAGTGAATAACCAAGGAAAATTTATTTAAAAAGGGAGAACGTGTGTAATAAGAATGGAGCACAAACACCCAGATAAGGGCACAGAAAGACACCAGAAAAGGCTTAGATATAACTGCTTGATCACTTTATAATAGTAAAGTAAAAATATATATACAAATATGTGTGACTTTTAAAAAGCCTAGGGGACGTTGTTTTGTGAAAGTATTGAGCATACATAAGCATCACATATAGCTAAGTCATCACCTTGTCAGAAAAAACACGTTATGGCTGTGCCTGCCTGACAATAAACACGACCAAACACTTGTAACAGGACTGAAGCTCGACACTTCTCAGCACGAAGGACACCAAACTTACATGAGGTGTTTAGCCACTTAGAAAGTACAAATAACATTCTGTGTGTAGCTGTTCTCTGCTCTAACAACATAGAGCAGAGAGTCTAAACTCAACCTTTTTTTGGTACTTTGGTATTCACAAACAATTGTAAAACAATCTATCTGCTTCATCTGACAGCACAATACAGGTATGCTACAACACCCTTTCACAATTTAAAAAAATAGTTCTTAATACTTCTTAGCAGGTATCTTATGAAAAATAAATTGTTCTTCAGTGGAACATTACATTTGTCACTTGGCCTTCTCCCAGCTTGGATAGTATGTCTTACTGGATAACAGGATTTTAAAAAAGAGTTAAGAGCTGATATTTTACACCATGATTTATGTACCTATGAAGAAGGAAGAGCGACGAAGATGAAGAAATTTTTGTATACATTTCTCTAGAGAAGGTTCAGATTTTTTTTTTCATAGAAAATTTAATTGTACATTAATTTATGTTTTGAAAAGGCCAAGGTCAGCATTTTAAAATCTAATATTAAAAATAAGTATATATTATGAAGTCTACTACATATCCATTAAGATGATTTGCTATTTTCACTCCTTATCCATTCAAAAAGGGAGAAATTAATAATTTGTTAACAAGTTTTAAAGACATCGCTCTGCACTACACATCTAATTTAACATTCACCAAGGTGAGTATGAGTGGAACAGATATCTGAAGGAGTTGGTGACACTTCTAATTGCTGACTAAAAAGACAGGAGTGTTTTAAAATATAACTGATCTATAAATATTGAGTAAAAAGTTCTGTACTTTTATATTGTATTAATGTTTTGATTGTCATTGACTGTTTAAGATTGAAAACACTAACAGAATTCCAGGTCCTAGTCTGGAACTTTCAATGCAACTGAGTCTCACAGCTTTTTCATAAATAACTGAACTTTAATGAAAATTCAGTCAATCATTTTTAGACAAAAAAATGCATGTGACATTCTGAGGCATTTAATCCACAAAAGTGGCATTTATCAATAATACATATTGAGATAGTATTCTCAGACTGAAAGGTGACACAGAGACTTTAAAGCTTTGTGTTCTTTAGAAGTGATTGAAAAAAGACCCAACATGGAAAAAAACCCAGCATGATATCAGTAGGAAGGAATGAAATGTCACTGGTTCCTGGAAGCATTCCAAAAGTGGGAGATTCCCACTCTGCAGGCAGTGATTGTTAAATGCATTTTCTCTCACAAACACATGAATCCATTAAGATAAAGCAATAATCACTTACAAGAACTAAAACTGACTGGATTTTATCCTAAAGCTAAGTTTCTCAAAGTCATCACGTTCCTTTGCAAATTATTGTTGTAGCTAGAAAAGATCAAGAACTGAAATTTTAATTTTCAGAAAAAAAACCCGGAATTAAAATGCCACGCTACACTTCTAATTCTGGCAAAAATAACAACTGCAAGTTCCGAAAAAGGAAATCATAATGCTTGAAATGTAAGCTACAGTTTGATATTGGCAAATAGCATTTTCCTAGATTTTTTTCTTGACAGTGTTAAATACTTTTATGCTGTCACTTAACTTTTTCTCTGTCTTTGGATACTATAGATTATGCCATCAATTGCTTCACAAAGTCATGAAGAAAAACAGGAATAATATTTTGAAATATGATAATTACCCTACTGATTCCTTGATTAAACATATTTTTACACAAATGCTACTTCTGTGTTTAAAATGTTTTGCAAAGAGCAACATATACTCAGTTAAACTATGACGTATTTTAGGCAGAAAGACCTTCTGGCCCGTGTAGAAACAGCACTTTTCCCCCATGACCAAGGAGCTGTGAATGCTAAACAACAGCAACAATAAAAGAAGGATTCTAAGAAATACCCGCAATAATATAATTTTCAATACTTTTGCATCATGGTATCAAATGGTTGAAGCGTTAAGTATTTCTAAAGGCAAGCAGCAAGAAGAAAGGTTATAAATTTTCAAACAGGCCCTAAATTTTTAGCCATGGTCCAACTTCAGAACCAAAGGGCAAACGAATTTATTACCTTCTGAGAATTTACAGATGGCCTGTAATTGAGGGCACGTGGGAACCCAGTTCTGACAACCACTAGAGCTCTTAGCACCTCAACTAGCACGGGATAGAAGAGGCTTTTGTTCGGACAGATCTTTTGAAGCCAGAACCCAAACAGGGTGATGCAGCGCGTTGCATCTGCTGTGGGGACAATCGGCTCCTCTTTTCTGGGCAAGAAAAGGCAGCGAGGCCAGGGCAGGCAGAGGCCACCCCGCTGCGACCGCTCTGCAAGGGGCTGGGACGGCTCTCCAGCAGGATGGATGTGCTGACGGCAACATCTCAGCCGGATGCGCCGATGGCAGCGATGGGACACCGGGGGCATCACTTGCTATTGACCGGTCACGGTGCTATCAAGAACCAACATCCCCCGCCCCCACGGCATAACCGCGTCCCTGTCTCGCGCAAAGCCGAGTGCAGTCAGAAGCTACAGGCAACTACGTTCCTTCTGCCCCGGCCGGCGTTACCGACCATCCCCAACCTCGCCATCCCCAACCTCAACACGGACCGCCATGGCCCCCGCCCCGTCCGCCGGGGGAGGGCGGTGCCGTCAGCGCCACCACTGCGCATGCCCAGGCCGCCCGCGCGTGCGCTCCGCGGCGGCTCCTTTCATTCTAAGGGAGGACTAATTCTACTAGGACGGGTGGGATGGGGCAGGGGGTTTCCTTGCTCTCAAAGCGCGACCGCGGGGCCCAGCCGCGGGTGTGGCGGCCTCCAGCACTGCCACCGCTCCGTAGCCGACCAAGCGCCAGTCCTCCCTGAGCGCTCCCTCCGAGCAGCGCGCACCCACCTGCAGCCAACACCCGTAGCTCACCGACCGCTCTGGCCCACCCTCCGCAGCAGCCGCACCAACAGATTGGAGCCCTCTGGTGTCATTCTCTCGCTCCTTGCGCTCGGAATGGCTCCAACGGCCGTCAATCCAGGGCAGAGCCCGCCCATCTCCTCGAGCTGGTTCCTCCCTGACGGCACCGCGGGTGTAGCTCCGCCGCAGGCACCGCCTTTCCCCTGATAGGCCGGTACCTGGCGCATTCCCCTGTCACTCACGAGGTGCTGTGACCTCGGACTGGTCGTGGTGCCTCGAGGGCGGGGCCTTCCGTCCCTCCCGCACGCCGATAGGCTCCCGCCGTGTTCGAGGGGTGGGTCGTGGCGGGGCCGGGTGGGCCGGGGCCGTGCGGGGCCATGGGCAGCGTGCGCTGGGCTTTCCCCTGCGGGGCCTGGCGCCCCTGCCGCCGTGAGTGGCTGCTGGCCGCGCAGCTGGTGCAACCCGAGGAGAAGGACCGCATCGGCCAGTTTGTCTTTGCCCGCGATGCCAAAGCCGCCTTGGTACATGGGGGCACGGGGACGCGGCTGTCTCTCTGCAGATTGGGCATTGCCCAGATGTCTGACTCCTCGTAGGAAAACGTGCTCTACAAGGGCATTTCGGGGAAGTAATGCATCGTAAAGTACGAAGCTTGATGCGTAAAGTAGGCAGCTCTGTTTCGCGGCGGAGCAAAAAGAGATGTTTGCAGTCTACTGTCAGTAGTTACTGTGAAAGACTTCACAAGTTCTGTGTCGGGGTGTCGAGTTAGGAGACAAAATCAGCGTACCCTGGGAGACTGTACCTAAGATAGCAGTGTAGTGTGTAAGAGAATAAAGCTATTCTACACGATTCAGGTTTTAAATCTCGCATCAGGATGCGTTACTAATACAGACCTGCTAATTTGTGTATAAGAAGTTACCCATCACTTTCAGCTGCTCAGGATTTCATTTAGCGCAGAAGTAATGGAGTGGCTGTACTGCAAGGAAGGCTTGAGACAATGTTACCGTTCAGGGTGTAAAAATATTTATTTGTGCCATGAAGTATCCTAAGCAAGTAAACAAGGTAGGGAAAGGAGCTATTTTTGTGATTCTTCTAGGCTGGGACTGCTTTTGGGTCTTATGTTGCCTCTGTGCTAATAGTGATAATAAATGTATTCGATACTCGGGTCTGGTGAACTCGTGCTTTGCTGACAGGCTTTTATAAAAGGGGGAAATTTAAATTATTCAGCTAAAATACACTCTTACTTTGTATCAGCAATAATAAAGCCATATTTTTCAGGCAGGTGGTTTTCTAGCAACCACGGATATTTTGCAGATAGCATAAGAGTTCTGTATGAATCACTTCCATTTTATTTCATAGGCTGGTCGCCTGCTGATGCGGAAATTAATTGCAGAAAAGATGTGCATACCTTGGAATAAAGTACACTTGCAAAGGACGTCGAAAGGAAAACCTTTCCTGGCCAATACCGTAATCAGTATCAATTCGAATTACAATTTCAATATCTCTCATCAAGGAGATTATGCAGTCCTTGCAGCTGAGCCTGAGCTTCAAGTGGGTGTTGATATAATGAAGACTAATTTACCAGGTAATGCATTATTCTGACTAAAACAGATTCTGTAGTGTTTGAGTACTGAACATTTTCACATTTTCCAAAGAACTAATCTGTGTCCTAGAAATTTAGTGTAATTAGAAAAGAGCATGTGCATGTATTGTATATTTGGGGTTTTTTATTGTTAAATGCATTCCTCATTGTTTATTTCTGTTATGACAAATATAGATCTATTTCCCATTTAGAAAAGCAGAACCCTGGAAAAGTAAAGTCATGAATTGTGCTGTGATACTGGCAGGATCAGCATCTGCAGATATGTTAATTATGGATTTTCTGTCTCTTAGGTAGAAGCAGGGATGACTTTCCAACTAGTGACAGTGGGAAAAATTTTTGTCTTAGTAGAATCACCTGAAACTCCTTTTTTATTGGTATGCTATGAATATGTAACACTGACTTTACCAGTATTGTTTTCTCTGATAGTTCCACTGAGTGGTGCTCTTGTTCTGCAGTTGCTGAGTACATTAGATTTCAGAGGGTGAATCCACTATAAATCTCTTTCTCTGGAACAGCTACAAGGACAAAGATTTCCCTATGTGCAAAGTACATTACAGTAGGTTTGTTTGGTTATTTTTCAAATGCTTGTTTAAATACAAAGTACTTTATTTTGAGATGTTATCCAACAGAATCTTGATTGAGGTCTCCACTACTCTAGTTCTTGTATTCCTTTATTGTTCCACCAGTGAAGATGCAAAATCTGCAGTGCAGGTATACAAGAGAGTATCGTGCAGCTGAAAATTTTGAGAATTCTGCTATTTAATTGTGTGCTAGAATGTAACAACGAGTCCTGGTGCACGTATAATATTTTATGTCACTACTTAATCCATGCTATCTATTTTTGTTTTACTTGTGAACAATAAGAAGCCTTCTCTTTCCATATTACTTCTGCTTCATTATTAAAATCTGAAAAATGAAACTACTAGAAGATGCAGACTTCTTCAAAGGTGAAGGTGGGCCACAAGAGAAACTATTCTTAGCACTGCAAATAGAGACAGTTCTACAAAAGTTCTTCACCTTTTTTCAAGGTGATAAAAGTTTATCACTTTTTCCTTTTATTCAGATACTGAACTAAATACTGTAGTGATGGAAGAAAATATCTTCTTTAGGTATTTAGCTTCCTTAGGTATTGTGTGCTTTTGCCTTTTCATTATCTGTCAGGTTATTGTTGTAGATTTAAATCAGTCTTTGAGTTTAGTTGTTTTTGAATAATTACTGAGATCAGTGATTATTTTCTTCTCTTTAGATCAGTTTAAGAGGGACTCTTGAGTCATTTGGGAACAGGCACACTGTAGTACTGTAGGTTTATTAGTAGAAGTATTTGTGCACATTTTTTGGCCAGAGAGTTAATGCATGTGAAATTATTTTAAGCCTTTCACCAAAGGAAAGGAGAAGGATTCTCACAGTACTACTAATTCCTGTAGACAAACTCAGCTTGTGTTTGATTTTTAACTTATGGAAAAGAAATTTTGCAACAAGTGTCAACATGGTTTAAGTGATGTGTGGGATGTTGATTTACCAGTCACTTAAACTTTGCAAAGTAGAACATTTCCAGAGACTTAAGAAATAATTATAGCTTAATAAAAATTGCCTGGAGCATTTAAAAAAAGTTTAGATTCTTAGGTTCAAGAGCTTTCTTGCTGTGCAAGTGAATTTCTTTTCAGTAATGCAATTTTTTAGCTTAGATGGATTTGCAAAGGTAAATAAACTAACAATTCGTTCTCTGTCTTTCATAATCAACCTGCAATTTTTCTTACCTATCACATTATAGTTACTTTGGTCTGGACATGTCCAACCTCAATGTTCTTCCAGAATTAAGTATTTTGCGGCAATAAAAATCAACTTTTCTCATTAATATTTTGGTTTTGTGTTAGGCTTGCATATTAAAAGACACAAACCAGTAAATTTTCTGTATGTGAATTTTACAGAAAAATTCATTTGATCTAAAAATACTCCAGGAAATGCTTTTTTAAGGAAGTAGTCTATTATGTGCAAACACCTGATTGACGCTACTTTTCTCTGAGGCAAATAAATATAAGCAGAACTTGACTCATTTTTCTCTTTTTATTCTCATTATTTCATCATTGAGATGAGATAATGCAAGAGATGATAGAGGTCTTCAAATGAGAGATATGTCACACATGAATCGGGGTATCTAAGTACCACACAAAAAACCTAAATACCATGCTTCAGTGTAGCTAAGGGAGGAAAGCTCGCTCTCTCTCTGTCCAGTTAAAAGCTTTATGCTGTTTATTTTGGTAGCCATAAGCTAAACTGAGAGTTAGGCACACCTACATCATAGTTAACGTACTTGGCGTGTGTTTTAGGTAGCAGCCATGCTCAATTTTTTGAACTTGCTATGCTTTTTTAATTGCTACTTTTCAGTTTTTTCAATAAGAATTTCCTAACCTAGGAAGAAGTGCCAAAGCAGATTGTTCTTTGGAGTGCTTTTACCCTTACCGTGCCTTAGCTTTACCTTAAACCAAATTTTATCTGGCTTTGTTTTTATTGTTGTATTTCAGTAATTCTCATAGTGGCAATCAGCATGTAATCTTTTGCTGCAAGACATAATCACCGAATTCTTAGTGAATGTTACAGCTTTAGATAGGTAGATGCACTGTTTGGGAGGAAGAAATTAACAAAGGATTCGGTTTAAATGTTACTTCTAATTGTTCAAAGAAGTCAGAATTTATAAATATGTAAGCACATAATTTTTCGATGTGAAGGAATGTTAAAACAGCTGATATCGTTGTTGAGCTAAAGAATCATAGTGGTCATATGCACTTACACTGAGTAAACAGGGAGGCATTTCTTTGTTCTTGTTCTGTTTGAAACTGGGAAGAAACAGCCATCTTAAACATACTCAAAAAGAATACCTATTATTTTATAGCAGTTTCATTATTGTCCTTTATTTAGTCACATTTCTAACACTGTTTTAACCTGAAATTACATCATTCTGTAACTAATGAGGCACCAATGCTTGATAAACTGTGAAAGAAAAATTTGTTATTCTGCATAAATCTCCTCTTTAAGGAAAAATAATCTTTTTTTTTTCCTGAAGAAACCATCTTAATCCTTTGTGAGTCTTTCTTTAATAAAAAAACATAAACCCATTTGGATTAAAATATAAACAGATAGCAAAATGCAGAACAGTAAAAATTAACCTGTGTAGAGTATATATGTTTAAAATAAGGAAAAAATTAGCAATAAAGAAAGCAAAAAATTTAAAACCAGGTGCTTTTAGTAAAAATAAGAGGTGGAACAAAGAGCAAATATAAGAATGCTTATCTGATTGTTTTTGGGTTTTGGTGTTGTGGGGTTTTTTTCCCTTCTGCACACTGAATTTAAAATAATCACAATTTATTCCTTAACTGGTCTTTTGGGAAATTAAGTTATACATTCACAATGAGGTGTTAAATAGAATAGAATTTATTTTTTTTTAAAAGAACTAAAAGTACGTCTCAACCTGCACTAATGACACTTAGCTTTGGCTTTCCAAATTAAGAAAGTCTAGCAGAAAAATGTGATGTGAGGGCCAAGGTTAAGTAATTACTATGTAGGTATTAGAAATGTGCTTTTTGAGTTTTTTGCTAGCACTACCCATTTCCAATAGCTTCAGCTCTACAGATACTCTTGTTGCAAGAGTTGAAAAGTAGAAGCGTATGATCCACAACATATTTATGCTTTTTGTCATTTGTTCTGAAAATATTAAAAAAAAAAAGCCAGATGCTCTCAAATTTTGTTCAGACTCCAGCATACTTTTACATGCTCTTTCTCTTCCAGACATTCAACTGTAATATATACTTGCCATTGAACAGCTTGCAGACATAAACGCACCTGGGTGCAAGTTCATGGTTTTAGCTTGTTTCTAAGTAGAGAAAATAAAAGTGTTTAAAACACACAGGGTCTTAATCACTAAGATAATTCAGGAACCCCAAATTCTTTTAATGAAAGGTACTTATAACTAAACAGTAATAGCAAAAATAGTAATGAGCAGTAATAATATAAGAAATCTATTCTTAACTTGCCTTTGTCAATGATTATACCTTTTACTTGCTTAAGGGCTTTCCACAGCTAGCAGAGCTCTGGGTAGCCAGAATATTTCAGCAAAAAGGCAAATTACCCCATGAAAATGGCATTTAATGAGTTTTCCATTACAGAACATATCAAACAGTTAAAGCAATCATTTCATTGCCAGAACAGCAGGAACACTTCTTCCTTCCAACACTTGTGATGCATCACACTAAAAATATGCACAAAATTCCAAAATCTAAATAAACATAAAAATGTACTTTTATAAAGCAAGTTGTGAGGACCCAACTACAGATGTAAATGGAAAAGTCAAAAAAGTCAAACATGCTGAGATCTCTTTAAAAGTTATAGATATTTAGGAACGTAACATTTTCCTAACTACATCTTCTGATACTCCTTCAAAGACAACAAAAACGTTGCTAATGCAATAACTCCCACATATATATCTGAGCATCTATAATCTTACAGTACAGTAGTACTACCAGACCACCAGAACTCTCAGACATTACATTTTATGCCATAACATACTAAGGGCCTTCCTACACATTCAGAAAGATTATACTGATCAAAACCTTTGGTAATTCATGGCTAGGCTTCGCGAACGAACATTTAGGAAGGCTCTATCCACATTTGTTACAAGCACGCTGGTTGCTGATGAGGCCAATATGAGATAGACATATCTGATTGCAAAAGGCAGAGCAGAAAGACTCCTTAAGTGGTGTATTCTGCAAGACACGGTTCTTCCTGCGTTGTCTTTTCTCCTCGAGAGTGATCCTGCGTGTGTTCTCAAAGGAGACAGCTGCGTTATAGATGGTGTGTCTCCAGACCTCCCGATTGGAGGCCAGAGTAGACCAGTTATGATGATCAGTATGGCCGAGGCTGAGATGTTGTTTCAAGGAGTCCTTGTATCTTTTCTTTGAGGCTCCTCTCTTGCGGCAGCCAGTGGCAAGTTCACCATAAAGCAGGATCTTAGGGAGGCGATGGTCCTTCATCCTGGAGACATGCCCTGCCCAACGCAGCTGTGTTCTCAATAGCATGGCCTCAATACTTGTGACTGCTGCCTGTTCAAGAACAGATGTATCGGTCACATAATCTGACCAGTAGATGTTTAGGATTGTACGGAGGCAGCGTTGATGTACTATTTCTAAAGCACATATGAATACAGAACTAGAGAACATAGTATGTTTTGTTACTTTTCACTCCTGCATCTTTTTAAAATAAATCTTTTATATCTGATCTAAGGTTTTGCTGTTCTAAAGGGAAAATGCAAACCAGATTTTTTTTGCCTAGTCTTTAAAAAAAATTGATAAAATACCCAGTTCTCATTGCAGTATAAAAGATGACATTATGAATTCCAGTGTAAATAGTTATTGCAAAAAATCCAAAATGCACACACATATAGATACATATGAACATGCTCACTTATCTGTATATAGCATGTTTACTTTCCAGGCTTAATATTGGATTCTTTTTCCAGTATCGCTCAATATTTCTCCTCCTCACTCTTCCTGAAATTTCCACAGTATTGCGTGCTTTTAATTTAATGAAGAAACTTTACTTTTGGGTTAGATTTTTTTGTTTTTTAATGCATAGAAGGCAATTTTTGAAAGACTACTCAGCTTATATTCTTAGAGATCTAATGTGTTTAAAAGTTTATTAACAGGGAATAATAGGTAAGAAATCGCCTTCACAACATTTAACTTTTCTGGGAACTACTTTCCCAGAACTGCTTTCGTTTCAGCTGTGCATTAGGATGTGATAGGAGTGTGAGACTTAAGTGTTTGTAGATTAAAGAAATTGAATGAAAATGTGATTTGGTCTCAAGGATAAAACTTCTAGCTTGTCTTGTGAATATCAAAGTAATTTGGACACCAGCTGTAGGAGTTGGTCAGAGATTTGCTGTGTGTCATTTCTCTGTTGGCTAGTGTTCCCTAAAAAGCAAGTTAATGAGTGTTATGGGAAGGAGGCAGTGCTAAACATTCCAGGGAAAAAGTACTTTTTAAAATTAGGCCACTGAATAGCTAAACCATCCAGTCAATTTTGTCTAATGCAAATGAAAGTACAGGTTTGTATTTCTTAGGCAATTAGATACTGGGATAAATTGTTGTTGGTTAACTGAATATTATGAAAGGAAGCTGTAGTATGTTTTGGTTACATTTATTAGAGTTCTCTTCAGCCAGATGATCCATTGTAAAAACAAAAACTGCTTCCAGTATTCAGAGCACACATACTCAAGTGTGAAGTTTACAGTAGGCTAGAAAAATGCTTTTAGAATATTAGCTCTTATAATCAAATGCAAAAAAAAAAATGAACAACAGTTTGTGTGAAGGTAGGAAAAGAAGTGAATTATAAAAGCATATACAAATGAAAATGTGTTTTAAAATCAGCAAGGGCAATAAAATTGTGCTCAGCATTTAAAAAAGTTTGTTTTCAGTCTGTATTGAAAAAAAGCTGTGTAGATTTTGAAGAGTTCTGTTTCTTGGCATGGGTAAGTAAGAAGTATTTATTTAAGACGTGAGTTTATTTTCTGAAACAAGTTGATAAATAGGAGGTACTTTAGAAATATAAATTTAAAACCAAATGAATAATTGCTATATGGGAGTTGTTCCCATTCTGTGAAAGAAAGTTTTTGTAACCTATGGCAAGTACATTTGAGGCGTTTTTTTTGTTGTTGTTTTGGGGTTTTTTTTATATCAAACTAGAAGCAAAATAGCATTTGAATGGAAACTTTCTGCTGCTTCTAGTTTTGTCTCCTTCATACCTGCCAGGTCATGAGAGACATGGTAAAATTGAAGGGGTTTAGTGAAGGGGCCACCAAGGTGATTAGAGGGTTGGGGAACTTGACCTATATAGAAATGCTGATGGAGCTGTGTTTGTTTGACCCGAAGAGGGGAAAATTCTTAGGAGGGGAATGTAATCACAGTGTACCTGAAAGGTAACTGTAAAGATGATTTACATAATTGTCTTCATGAGCATGAACAGTAACAGGGCAAAAGGCAACAACCTCAGGTTGATTCATGGGGAATTACATCTCTATAGAACACTTCTTCATCATGAGAACAGTAAAGCACTGGGCTAAGTTCCCCAGAGAAGAGGTGAAATACTCTGCTTGACAGGGCCCTGCGTAACCCAGCATAAGGCTCTGATTTTCAACAGAAGGTCAGACCAGGTGATCTCCAAAGATCTTTTTCAACCTAAATTTTCCTCATAATTCTGTGAATCTTTCTCTGATACTGAAGCGAAGATGGGGAAGTGGACTAGGCAGGCTGTGGTACTGCTAGTAATTTATGGAGAATAGTAGTCCTAGGTCCTCTAATCTGATCCATTCCTCAGAGCAAAGTAACTGTACTGCAGTAAGGAGACAGGAGGGCAGTGCACTTAAGGATAAAGTGGTGCCTGAACTTTTCAGAGGAAGAATGTGAAAAATGACTGGAGTGGATGGGAAAATACTATGTAAGTCTGAACAAAGTGTCAAGAAGGGTAGCTGAACAGTTGAAGAAACCTTTCAAAAAAAGAAGTCAAATAATGAGGGGAAAAAAACCCAGTAGCATATGGGTTTGATATACACTTAGTGTACTAAACAGTTCAAATCTCAAGTGTATTCACCATGCGTGATAAAGTTTAGATGGCAGGACTGACAATGCACGAGCTTTTATATGCCTCTAGGTGCTGAAGGTAGTGTGGATAGTCTTGGATGGTTTTCTCTGGTAGTGTGAATAGCCCTGGATTATTGAAAGCAGGAGAACTCTCTGAAAATGAGGAGGGAGGAAGAGTACATCAGGACATTCTGGAATTTTTATAGTTTGAATCATCAGAAGAGGCTGGAGCCTTACCACTGTTGTCTTACATACTCCAGAAAAGAAGAGAATAGAAAAAAAAAGTAGATTGTTTGGAGCAGGTATTAACACAGTTATTTGATTCTAAAATGGACCATATAAACATAGATGAAAGAAAATACCTTTCTCCAAGTTAAACAATTTTTTTTGTGATTTTTCATTGTTTCAGGGAAGTGGGATTGTGTAAGTAGATGGATATGGCATTTGTCCGGGTAATTCATCAAAGCATACTTAACATTGTGGTTGCTTTTCTCTCTCCAGAGAGAAAAGTTACTTCTGTCCTTGGATTGTTCTGGATCATTCCATTAGCTGACTACTGCAACTGTCAACAAAATTTTAGTCTTGTTTTCTTCACTTTATAAATGCAGTTGAGGGCATCTCTGAAATGTCACTGCTATGTCTTGTGTGATGTCTATGTCAGGTAACACTTTGCGGTGTGATTTGGAATGTGTGAGAAAACCTGAATGTGTGCTTTAGTGTGAAATTAGTCTGTTCAGGTCAATGATTACTGCTGTCAATACCTGTTTGTATTTAGTGCTTAGATATCTATAGAAGACAACCACTTTATAGAGAAGGGTTAATACCCTTATCTTTGATTTAAGATGGCAAACATTAGCGTAGGGAAAGAAAGTTCCTTGCCAATAGTCAACTCACAGAATTACGGGCACAGGTGTAATTAGAATCTGCATCTTTGTTAAGCCATTATCTAGTGATGGGTTCTTAAAAGTAGTGTGATATTAGGAGGGCTGGCTGTTTTTTAGATTAAATATGACTAATACTTTTTTTTTTAATAAGAAAATTGAAACAAAGTTTTTGATAGGTTATGCAATAAGCAGAACTGTCTCTATCCAGACTTTTATTATCCCTGCTAAAGAAAATAGATTGTTTTCTGTCATTGTCTCTTTAGCCAGCAGTAAGCCCAATTGGACAGATTGCATGGTATGCTAATTAATATAGGCTCTTGGGTGAGTAGCCAAGCATGTAATGAAGTCCATAGCTTCCAGTGTATTATAGAAGTGCCATTGATCAACATAACCACACAGTCTGTAGCGTCTTCTACAAAGTAAATTTAGACTAGTGGGGAAAAGTGATATAGCCCCTGAGGAAGCTTAAATTTAATCTAAGGATTTGAAGGTTTAGTGGTTTGAGGTTGGGTTTTCTAGGAAGGATTTTTCTTTTTCTTTGGTATATATCTTGCTGTTATTATGGGCACCCCTCTACCTCCATTTTCCTTGCAGAATAAATCCAATCCAAAAGGCTTAATATGTATGTGATAACTTGGGAGACTATATTCTACAAGTGCTTAAAAAAGGGTTTCTTTTGTATCACAGCATCCTAGGGCAGAAGGCAGAATTGATGAATTTTGACAAACAGCATGCTGTTTTATAAAATATTACTAGATCAAGCTGTCATATGCCAGAGACTGTATATGCTACTTTTGTAGCTAATATAATATTTTTATATATATGTAAAATCAGCACTGGTTAAATACTGTGCTTTTTAGAGAATGCTGGAAATACATAATTTCACATTTTTTATACAGCAATTCTGCTATTGAAATGGTTTTTTTTCATACTGTGTCCTGAAAAATCATCAGCTTCCTCCTTTCAGGCTATGTAAATTCAAGTTGTAGAGCAGAGTTGGTTCATAAATTTTTTTTCTTATGAGTTTTTTCTAGTGCAATAACATGAGGTAATCCATTTGCTTATTATTGCTAGTCTATTAAAATTTCTGTAAATATTTCTGTCTAATTTATAGGTAGTAGCTCAGTTCCAAATTTCTTTCACATCATGAAGCGACAGTTTACTGAGACGGAGTGGGATGTAATCAAGTCTATGAGTAATGAATGGATGCAGCTGGATATGTTTTATCGGCACTGGGTAATACTTTTTTCCCTATTTATACTCTGCAAACATGCACATTTTTTTGACATAGTTTATTATTTTTATCATAGTAAAAATGTTACTTTTTATAGTTCTAAGATCATCAAATCCACTGCTAAACCATCTCCCTAAGTACCACCTCTACCCATCTTTTAAAGAACTCCAGGGATGATGACTCAACCACTTCTCTGGGCATGCCGTCCCGATGCTTCAAAACCTATTCGGGGAAGAAGTTTTTCCTAATAACCAGTCTAAATCTCCTGGTGCTACCTGATGCCATTTCATGTGAAGATAAAAATAATTTTGATACTTTAATGATTTTTTTTCATATCAGAATAACTTTGACAACCATAGTACAGATGGCATTTCTAGGATTTACACATAGCTAGAACAAGGAAGAGGGTTCATATCTGTATGTGCCACTGGGTAATTCCAGTTTCATGTTTATTGTAATGCAGAAAGTTAGGCTGGGTATTAACAATGTTGATAACTTTTTCTCTTGATAATTGCATCAGTCTGCCCTCACATTTAGAGTAGTATAAGTCTTAAATTTATTTTGTCTACCATTTGTAGTCAGAAGTAATGTTTATAGAACAGTTTGAAAACAGCCGGTATGAATAAAATGCACTTATTGTGTCTTTTAGGCCTTAAAGGAAAGCTTCTTAAAGGCTATTGGAGTTGGAATTGGCTTTAACTTGCAAAGAATTGAGTTTAATGTATCCCCATTGCAACTGGAAATAGGGAAGGTGTATAAGGAGACAAAAATGCTTCTGGATGGAGAAAAAGAAGAGGAGTGGACATTTGAGGTAAGGAGTACGTTTTCACTAGTGATAAACAGTCTTGACTCCCTGTGGTTGCATTGCATATTTGATTTTTTTTTAGTTGCCACTTCACACCTTTACTCTGTATAAACCGAGTGAGCGTGTATCAATCAAAACTTAGGTTAAAAAACTGCAGCAATTTAAGGTATTTTTAATGATTGTAAAAACACCCCGTAGATATATTCATTATCATGGCTTTTTATTTTTTCTGTTCCTGGAATATGTTTCTTGCACTTCATGAAATTCATCCTAGGGTCTGCAGGAAGTCCACTGAAACATATTCAGACCTGCCTTGAACAGTGTCAAAGACTTTAAAAGTCTTCATTAGTTGGTCTAGAATAGACCTAGTGGTTAAGCAACTCCATTAGTCTTTAGGTTAGATGTTTGAAATGGGGGAGGTGTCTTCAGTTCCACTGGGTTCTTACTTCTTGTCCATACAAAAATGTGTTTTTGTGAGTTTGAAGTGGCTGCTGTCTGTGGGAGTGAACAGATGAAAAAACTTACTTTTGCTTACTTGGAACATCAGTTTGGGTTCAGTCTTCTATCTGAGTGTTGGGGTTTGGGCTTTTGTTTTTCTTCTTCAAAGTTATTGAGGCTTATCACTAAAACATCTATCCTGTTAGATTTGATAGGAAATTACTGGTATAATCTAAAGTAGTTTAAAGGATATATAGAGGAACAACTGGTAGGGACATAGTTTAGAGCTGGACATGGCAGTGCTGGGTTAACAGTTGGACTTGCTGATCTTAAAGGTGTTTTCCAGCCTAAATGATTCTGATTCTATACAATGACCTCAAATTATTTAATTACCCTAAGAAACTGAGCTTTAAAAACAAATCACAGTGCCATTTCTCTACGCCCCAGAGGCATGTTCATTTAACCACTTAAAGGAAGAAATGGAAAAAACAGAAAGTGCACTTTTCAGCAAGAGTATTCAGTTTCAAATACACATTTACATTTTGAAAATATCTACATTGTTGGAGACAGCTGTTCTAGTAGAGCTGTCTAAATGACAGATTTCTGCTGTACCTTCTTTTGTTTAGTATACAAACTACGTGTACCCTATGCATGTGGTATAAAAGAATGAATGTACCAGTAATGTTTAACTTGTACTCCAAGTTTATCTCTTCACAGCTCATTCCATTCAGCATTCCAATTCACTTTTGGTTTTGCATTATTTTACAAGTCTATCCATACTAAATCAACCCTCTTACTCAATATCTGTATAGTGTGGCAATATCAGTATGTCATGGAATTCATAGTTGGAATTACACACTGGGAAAAGAAAATCTTGGGAAAGACTGTGACACATCTTGTACTAGAATGCTTTCTGTATTATTGTGGTGTAGCTCTTTAGGTTGATTTCTAGAACTCCTAATTTTGGTCTTTGACAACATGCCTGAGGTTGATTGACTCAAATAGCATGATGATGATGTAGATAGCTCCCTGTAATACTTAAATGCTTTCTAATTATTTGATTTTTCCTTAGAACTTAGTAATTACTGCTGGAAGATTCATGTAATTTTTGTCTGGGGAATGTCTCCACTTCCACACTTGCCCTCCTGCTTCCCAAGAGCGAAGCCTTATAACGAGGCAAATTCTAGTGTTTCAAAGAAAGGGTTTAATATCAAGTTTCATTTAAATACAAGCTCAATTGGGATGTGATTTTATTTAAATATCAACATTTATTAAAATGAAATAAAAAAAATTCAGTTACCAATCCCCAGCCTAAAATTAAGCATCACTTTACTTTTTTGTCTTTTCTCAAGCTTCTTTTAATGTTGTGTCCATTTTCTTACTCAGAAAAGTCCTTTTCTGATTCACTATTTGCCCTTGAGCCAGATTCTTGAAATAACTTGTTAATCGAAAACACTACGTTTTGAGAAATCTGAGAGTCACCCAGGAGCAGACATTAAGAATCCCCTGTAAGATTGCATATTACTGATACAGTATTTTCATTGGGTTCCCTCTTGCACTGAGTTTGCTTGAGGGAGCTTTTCTATAAAATTTAAAAAAAAATAGTGATATCACTTTTACTTTTCAGATCTGCCTATATCTTTAATGATAGGAGATGATCAAAGAGAGCTAGACACTGTTGAAAATTAAAATTTTCCCATGTTTTGGATTGCCTCATTTCAGTTTTAGACAATCTAATTTACCAAAAACGGAAAAGAGAAACAAAGGGGATTTTATCCATTTAAATTACACAAAATATTCTGAAATCTCCTTCAGAAAGTACCATGTAATGTGAAAAAAGACAACTTAAATGCATAAAGACTAGAAAAAGATCCACCACCTTATACTTGTCATGCCTAAAAGGTCAAGAGAAATACTAATGAATAGAGCAAATTAAAGTTGACACTGTTCAGACACCCTGTCACTGTTCACATCAGAGCAAAGCCAATTCATATTGGAGATAGAATTTTCTGTGAACATTCTAAAAGACAGATTTATTGCATTGTGAGTCCAAATGAACTACTTCGTTATGTAGGTTACTGTTTGTGGGCCCTTTACCACAGGTTTAGTTTTGCTCTAAGTTCTTTACCTTCCACTCCTCATATATTTTTGAGCTTGGATGGAAGGTAGTAGCTCAGAAACAGCCTCTTCTTGTTTGATCTTGATGGAATGATTTACCTTTAGGCACTTGTTTGCAAACAGTACTCTTGAGATTGCTACTCAGATTCCCTTCAACTGTTTTGGAAGGAGTAGGAGAAAAAGTACTGTAAAATTTCATTTTAAAACATCACTTTAATTTTAAGATATGTCTACTATGTGTATAAAATATGCTTTAGTCATATAGACAGTGTATGCTTTCCTCATTTTAAAAAGGTGAATTTGTTTAGCAATAATTAAAAGATAACCAGCCCAGTGAAGAGTGATAACAGTATTTGTGTCAGGGTGTTAATTTAGGATGGAGTCATTATGATGATGATGGTTATTATGGGTAATTCTGTATGCTCCATTTAGTTCCTCTGAAGAAAATAAACTTGAAGATTTGTCCTGGTTTCATCTCAAATAGAGTTAATTTTCTTCCTAGTAGCCAGCATAGTACTGTGTTTTGAATTTAGGATGAGAACAGTGTTGATAACACACTGACACACTAAGTCAAGAAGTCTTCAGTTCCTCATAATGCTCTGCCAGTGAGGAGGCTCTGTGGTGTTAGCTGCCTGCTGGGTTAAACCACGACAAGAATGAAGTAGTAGTTAATTTCAGTAAAAGTGAAAGAAGTTGAAAACAGTTACGACAAGTTTTATAATTTAAAGATATAAACATAAGGGGTTTTTTTGTGTGTATATACATATATATATGTCTTATATGTAGAAACATATATTGGCACAGGAACAGATTGCCCGGAGGAGTTGTGGATGTCCCATCCCTAAAAGTGTTTAAGGCCAGGTTGAATGGGACTCTGAGCAACCTGGTCTAGTGGAAGGTTTCCCTGCCCATGGCATGGGTGTTGGAGCGAGATGATCTTTACGGTCTCTTCCAATGTAAGACATTCTGTGGAAAAAAAAAATCCTAATTACTGATTCGCAAATGTTAAATGTATTCTTGACTCTTTCCATACCAGTTGTGTACAGTTGTTAAGGAAGAGCAGCTGGAGAGAATTTTCAGAAATCTATATTGAAGAAGAATCTTAAATAAGATACAAAACATTTCTGTTTTGGTACCTACCTCAGTTTTGGATACAACTAGCTTATGAAGGAAGCACGCATTTTATCCTAAACCTTGCTCTGGGATTAAGAGTTGCTTGGCATCACTGCTACTGCACAAATAATTGTTTGCATTTTTTCACAACAAATATTTGCTTGGTTTGTTTATATGCAAATACATTACTTCCAGAACATGAATTTCAAAGAGAGATTACCTGGGCCAATTTGAAACATATTTAGTAATTGCTGGTGTGCAACTGTAGTTAGCATCTTTCACCTTCAGTAAGAGAAAATAATCCTGTTGCATTATCAGGAATAAATAGGAATAGAAAGTTTTATATCTAAGACTAGTTAATCCGCCTGGATTCACGCAGCTATCAGTTCTGCTGTCTGGGAAGGTACAGTTTCCTCATAAGCTCTCTGTTGTTGAGTGAATTCATAATGATTTGAATCCCAGACACATCATTCCACCAAGTCTTTGAAATGAGATCATTATAAGTCTCAGTTTGCCTGTAGCTTGAACAGCTCTAGTAACACTTTTGTTCTGTGCAGAGAAAAACAAATTTTCCTCCATTATATGTTTTCTGATTTATAGAGAGAAATCTTAACAAAACGAACTCTCTACCTCGAAGGAATTCTGTATGATTGTCCTCTTTTTGTTTTCTCATCTATTTCCATTTAAGATATTAATTTTATAAGCTGGTATAGCAATATCTCCAGGGAGGCAAGCTGATCTGCTGTTTCAGTATGTTTCATTAGCTCTGTAGCTTAAGGTTTTTGCTGGCCACTAGTAGGGGCCAGGAAGGATCTTCCAATTTCATTTGGATTTACATTTCTCTGAAACAGGAAAGACAGATGAAGGACATGGTTTATTATGTTTTATTGCAAGATGCTGAAAATTCTTTCATGACCACAGAGGATACAGGAAATAAATGAGCTGGAACCTTTTAAATTCACTGTTTGTTGAGCAGGGTCTCTTCAGGGAATAGTCTATCTAAAGAGTCACTGCCTGTTAAACTTTTAACTGAGAAAACATTATTAACAATGTGTAAAATACTATCTGTAATATGTTTTTAGTTACTCAAATAAGAAGTAATACATAAGTTGACTTCACAAAAGGAAAATTCAGTGTGTTTAACTTAAAGGCATAACATGGTTGTTTGTAGACTTCTGACTACAGGTGTAAGCCAGTGCTGAATGTGCTGTACTGTGTCCTCTGTTCTGATCTGTCTTTAACCTCTTGAACAAGAAAAAAAAAAAAAAAAAAATTGAACGAAGGGGGGAAATGAAGTGATAAAAAACCCAATTAGTAATTTTTCCATCTAGACAAACACAAAACGTTATTAGCCTAGAATATTATAAATGATTTAGCAACACCTGACTGAGCATCTAATTTTCATAGTCTTTTTTATTTTCGATGAAGTTATAGAAATGTGCACACTGTGTACAAATGGTTATATTTCATCAAACCTTGAGGTAGCATTCTTTATTTTCATTCTTTTATTTTCAGTTTTATTCCCTCGTAAAAGAACGGAAAACCCAGTAAAATACTTCGTAGTAAATACATCTGTAGCTCTTGCAGTCATGGGAAATACTGCTTATGCTGTAGGTTTGTTAGTGTTTCTTGTGATCATTAAATATTTTTCCTAATCTAGACGGAATTGAAACAGTCATTTTCTTACTAGCACTTTGCAGGAAGGTAAAACAACATGAGCTTGATGTTTTGTGTTTAAGTAGGTGAGGGTTAAAAAGTTCGCTGCTAAAGCTGTCAAACTGGCATGGTTTTGGTGCTGAAGAGATCAAAGTAAAAACATAGCTCTACTTCCTCACCAGCACCTCTCTGCCAAGGCACCCACATTTACCAGAACAGTCTCCCAACTTTGCAGCTGTACTGCTGCTACACATGACTGGAGCAGCTGCTGTCTTGGCTGAGCTGGGTTGAGTAGATTTGAGCTGAGTATCTTGGCACTTTTTTATATATAGGGCTGTTTGGGAATCACAGAAATGGTATCCTGGCAACTAAAATATTAGAAAATTCTGTATAGTAGATGAACTGTAGAGAAGCCTAATGCAGACTAACAGCATTGTTTTAAAAGACATTTTGTTTAGATTAAAAGGGGAAAAAACAAGGCAACCAACAACTCGTCAGAGGAAATAGGAGGGCATCGATGTTTGCTTTATAATATAATATAGTGCAGTTAGAATGTTTCCCAAGGAAGCCAAAACTGGAGATTCAGTCTTACCTCCCAGGAGAATATTTCAATGACTAGCTGATTTTCAGATTAATGGCGATATCTAAATCATTCACTTTTCTAGGTAAAATTCTTGTTATTCTTGATTTCTGTTTTAGAAAGACTGTGCAGAAATTATTTGAAAACTTTTGGATGAAAGAGCAAGAAAAATCACATACTTTTAAAAAAGCCAATGGAATTATGACTTGACTATAAAATAAGTATTATTCAGAAAGAGTATATAAAAGGGTTTGGGTGGTTTTTTTTCTGAAATTATTTGTTTAGGGTGAATTCTTAGCCTTTGTAGAGGAAAACACTTTCAAGTAAAACTATTAAGTAAGTAAAAACTCTGTCACTAAATATATAGTTAGGTATCTAAAAATGTTGAGAAAAATTGATTTGTATTTACGCATATCAGTGCTCAGACTGTGTGTCAGGAATTTAAAGCTGTGCTCTTACCTGCTGTCTGAAGCCAAGAGTAAGAGAGTCATTTGTTTAAGTTTGCACTTAAATTGTTGTTTTTCAGAATACTTTCCAGGAGTTCAGTTCATTTCATTGGAAAATGGATAGCTAAGATGGGTTATATGGTTTGTCACTTAGAAGGGACCAGTAAAGGAATGCTAAGGTCACAAACTTGAATATAAATATGTACAAATGGGTGAGGTGATGAAAACCTATAGTAACCAGTTCAGCCCTGATAACTTTTTAATGTATCGGCATCATTGAGCTCTCCAACAAGACTGCTGAAAACTACTATTGTTTTTTGAATGTTATTATTTTAAATTATGGTCTGCTATTGTTCTGAACCATAGTCTAAACATTTATATAGTCTTTGCTGAAAACAGAGTAAAGAAAATGCATTTACATTGCCATTTTTTATCTTTACTAGGAAACCCGGTTCGATGACCATCATCATGTTGCAGTGGCACTCGGGAAACAGACGGGATTTGTGCAAAAGGCTTCTGATGTAAGAAATTATGAAACAGTTTCAGGTCTTGTTAGTCATCTGAACATAAACTTATTCTTATGCTGTAGCTAAAAATGTGTTATCTCAGATTTAGGGCCAAGGGAAATGCTTATCTTAAGCACAGTTTTAACCAGAACCAGACAGTATTACTGAACTGTTTCCTCTAGTTCTGTTGTGTCTATTTCAGGAGAGGTCTGGGAAGGAGAAATGCTTTCAGAGGACAGCAACAGATAATGTCAGATCTGGAATGCAGTGATCAGTGTGTTCATTCAAGAGAAGATTAAGTGATTTTTGTCACAGCCTGCTAGTACTCATGTGGGAAAGATGGTCTTCACAGAGGGAAATGGAGACAGTGAACCAATCTGGACTTGCTAAACTTGTATGACACCTCACCAAGTTGATTTTAATGGGGGACTGTCAGTGCATGTATCCCGGAGCAGATCCATCGCTCAAACACGACTATGACAAGATAACCCTTGAGACAAGCAACAACAGCCAAGAGATGGGAAGAACAGCAGTGTTAGTCTTCATTCCATGTGGTGTCTATTGAGAGAAGGAACAAAGCTACTTAAAAACTTTTCAGGATTTTCTGTGCAATTTAACAAAGATCTCAGTCATAAAATAGCAATAAAAGTCAAAATTAAGGGAGAAGCAGACTGGCAAGTTGTAGCTGAAATAGCCAAACAATCAGAAAAGGAGAGTGTGACAAATTGCCGGATTTTTCTGTGGTGTTTTAGTTGCTAACAAGAAAATGGGTTAGTTGTTTTCTGTTATTTAGATACAAAGGTTCTACCAGGAACTAGAAAAAACGTAGTGTAGGAATGGATAAAAGCATAAAAGTGGTAATGCACACTTAATAAAGTCTGTCTGTGTTCGTGAATAACACAAAGAGGCAGACCTTTTAACTAGTATTGGGTAGGTTAAAAAGAAAAAAGAGATATAAACTGCCTTTGGGGTTTTACTGTGTCAAATCAGTGTACAAATACTATTTTAAGAAAATATATTCAATCTGCTTGACAGGACATACTTAAGTTCTCTTTGGGATGGCATATCATTCTTCTGACAGGAATACTAATAAATGCAGTCTGAGGTGAAAAGAAGATGGCCATTATTTATAAAGACAGCTACCTAAGTATTCTACAAAAATCCAGGAATTTTAAGTGTTGACCTTCACCACCATCACATACCTTGAAGTTATCATAGGAAGAATAGTAATGATATCAAGAATTATGATGAAAAATCTTTGAATCAAGAGAAGTCTTAAAGGCATACTTGTCCACTGACTAAATTTCTGATGACCTGAGTTTCAGGTCATCTCAATTCACGGAAAAAAGGTCGTTTTAAGCAGGACAAGTGAGCATCCTGTGACTCCCCAGTATGGAAATTAAGTGAAAATTTATATACTATTGCATTGTGCCTTTTTAGGCCTCCTTCTAACAGGAACATGGAGGAAATGAAAATTACCTTCTCTCTATGTAACAGAACTGTAAAAAATGATTTTGTTTTAAATGTCTTGCTAGATGTGTTGAGAGAAAAAGTTGTTCATCCTTCTTAAATACGTGCAATTGTTCCAGGATGTCAGTGTTTGAGTTTGTTCCCCCTCTGCAATCACAGGAGTAATTCATTATGTCCTGTTTGCAGAACATGTACGTTCAACTTTCTTCCTGTACTGATAGCAAGTACCTACAATTCACAGGAAAGACCAATTGTTACATTAATGCACTATAGTGAAAAATCTCTAGTGTCAAGAATCTTTACAAAGTGTCTGCTAGTGACTGCTATATGCTTTAAGAAACAATGTGTATCTGCACTCTTTACTGAGATCTAGACAGTTATCTGTGGCAAATCTCAATGAAAGAGGGCTGAATTTATAATTCTTTATAATTCCTGTGTAGGCTATAAAATATCTTTTTGTCTGTCACTTGCTAAATTTCACAAGACTTGAGATGAATTCAGTCAGAACACACTTGCCCTCAGACAAGCATGTGCTGAAGTTCAAACTAGATCTGTTAACATCTTCTTAGCTCTGAGGCTCTGAGGCTTAGTTCATGTTTGGTATGCATCTCTGATGTCACTTGCATGGCTCTAGGCACAGTTCCTGCAGCTTTACCTCATCTCCAAAATGTCACATGAACAGGAATGTCTCAACACTATATCATTTGTGTAAGGACATAAAGCGACAGCCAGCTCAACTTCTGGTTTCAGTCTGTATTGACAACTTAGAGTTTTTCTGTGCTGTTACAGCAAGCAAAACCCATTTGGTTGTCTCTGCATTTATTCCTACCAGTAACTTACTGCTCAGACACTGAAATGGACAGTAGACTTTTTTGCCCTTTTACCTATTTACTGACCCACCTTCATCGATGTGACAGAAAGAGACAACAAAATCCTCAAAATAGGCCTTAGATAGGATCATCTCCAGCATTGGTACGTGAGCAAGAAAAGGCCTACAAAGTACAATTATGAACAAATTCCCCAACCTTTCTACAGGAACTCAACACGCTGGGGTGCCTTTACAGTGCCTGTACACTAGTCCAAACAGTATGAGGAATAAAGTATCATCTCTGGAAAGGTGGCAGAGCAGCTAATTCTGGAAACCATTTCCAGATGCAGTAAGGACAAAGAAATCATCAGGACTGGTCAGCATAGCTTCACCAGGAGAAAGTCATGGTTAGTAAACTTCTGCAATGAAATGACTGGCCCAACAGGTGAGGAGAGAGCAATGGATATTGTCTACCTATGTTTTGGTACTTTCTACCTCTGGCACTGTCTCTCAGAAGATCCTCCTGGAGCAGATGTTGATATGTGTACTAGGTGAGCAGGCAGTAGGTGTATTGAAAACGGGCTGAACAGTTGGGGCCAGAGCATGCTGATAGTGGTAGAAGGTGTGGTTGGAGGCCAATAACTAGTGATGTACTCCAGTGATCAAAACTGGGTCCAATCCCATTTAACATCTTCATAATGAAACTGGATGATGGTGCAGTGCGTCCTCAGCAGGTTTGCTGGTGACACCAAACAGGGAGGAGTGGCTGATATGCCAGTGGGTCATGCTGCCACACCAGAGGGACTTGGATAGGCTTAGCCTGCATCAGACATGAGTCAGTTTGAGTGATGTACAGAGTACCCCCACTGCAGAGAAGCCATGCTGAATTTTATCAAATATTAAACATTAAGAATATGTTGTTTGAGCAAATGCCAATTTAGAAGAATCAGCTGTATTTATGTTGGATTCATGCAAGCTATACTATTTGCCCTGCTGTCTGGGAACAGCTTTACTTGGAGAAGGCATATACAGCAGGCTGCACAGTAACATGTGCTCAAAAAAAAACCCAAATCTTTTTTTCATTGAGACATGATTTTTCTCGGAGTGATGAAACTAACATGGAAACCATGACACTCTCATCTCCAATATCTCAGTCTGCATTTAATGTGGATTTAACATGGGGAATGGCGGGTTGGTTGTGACTGCTTTAGTTCTTAAGTAGCGTTTGAGTTTGAGAGAGGCATGCACAGCCATGAGGATTACTGGTATTAAAAAGAGTATGAATAGGCACACCTCTAGTGGAATAAATCCTCATGTAATTGTCTCAAATAATCATATCTGCTGGAGAATGAAGTACAGTCTGTTTGATGGTGATCTTTGTCTTTCTTTTTTACTGGACTTAAACACTCATTCTGTCATACAGCATTCTATAGACCTTGTTCTGTCAGTTTTGTGAACTTGATTGTGAAGGAAAAACTTGATTTTTCTGTGTGGCCTGTCAAATGCTTCTATTAGTTAATGCATAGCCTAAATTAGGGGCGGTGACACTAGTCTCAAATGCAGAATATTTCCTTTCTTCTTCAGTAAGCAGTGTGAAGTTTAAACTGCACAGAGAATTTTACAGGACGAAGATTGATACTTATTGATTTGTGTTATGCTAATATGTGTTTCCTTTAGGTACGTTCCATGGAGCCTAACCCACCACAGTTTACGTTACTGACTTTTGAAGATTTAGTTGCATCTGGTATTCCAGTTGCACCTGAGGATTCTGCATATTGGGACAATTTTTGTTCAAAGCAGGAGAGTCCAGTGCAACAGAGGTCACATTCAAGATAAGAATGCTTATAAGAAAAAGAAAATTGTCAAAGTTTTTGTGCTGTTATTCTACATAATTCCAAGTATGGGAATAAGTATATGTGTGTAGATGAAGCATGTTTTTCATTATTTAAATTAACAACCTGATTTTCACCTTTTCAAAATTGATGCTTTATCAGAATCTTAAGGAAGATACAAGTTTCCTTGCTTAAGGAATTCTGAGTGAAAAGCCTAAGCTGGCCACATGCTTTTTGCATCTCCTTGACGGTGGTTCTCACACTTTGATAAATATCCATGCTAGGAACAGAAAGCAGATCTACAATAATGTTGTTTATTAGTCAACGAGTGTTTAGTATATAAAAATGTGTTTCCATACTTCATTTATGCTGAAGCTTAAATTATGATGCAGCTTTTTCTCTTACAAATATAACGAGTTTATTCTCAGATGAATGAATAAAACCAGGAAAATTGGTACAAATGAACTGCAAATATGGGGTGAGATGAATAGAGAAATTTCAGATCTAGATTTCTGGGGATAAAGGAATAAATTTCATATTAGAGATTAGTTATTTCTGCATAGAATCAGTGTCTCCAACCAGAATTTTTCTGTCATTGGAAAGAGTTTTAAAAGCATTAATGAAATTATTTATAATATCGTGCCTGCATCCAAGGAGAGGACAAACCAATTTTATTAAATTAGAAAATTGCACTTGGTTTGCTTGCCAGGAAGATGATAGTTTTCAGAACTGTGTCTAATTAGAAAGGTTACAAAACCAAAGGTGTTTGTTTTGGTTAGTTTTCCATGAAATAAAATCATAGTTTCCAGTGATTCAGACAGAATCATGTAGAAGATTGCAGTTACTCACATTATGATTTTTTCCAAGTTGTTAATTTACACTGAATTATTTCAAAAGTTAGATTAATCTCCTTTTTAATCTTAGATAGCAATGAGATTAGTTGATGGCAATGACTTGTGAAAAGCCACTTGAGTCATGTTGTTTCATGTCAGTGCAAATGGACAGAATTGTTACACTTCCTTTTACTGCTGTGAGCAGTAAAAGAGCAGCTGGATAGTTGTGGAATTACCAGCTAAAAGCATGCTGCTAAAAGGCAGGCAGGACATTCCGACTCCTTATGAATGGGAATGATCCTTCTTAAAGTCATCAGAAATTTTTCTGGGCATCTGTGGTGTGGAGGCACATATTGAAACAAGTGCTGTTTGCGTGTACAGATAAATTAATCTCACAGTTCTAAGATTAATCTTTGGGGTTTTTTTATATTTCACCATCACACTTTTCACTGTTATAAGCATAATTGAGCCCTATATCCAGACATGGCCATAACACTGACTTCCTTGCATTTCCTCACAATACGATCTTAATGGCTAGAGTTTCTCTGCCGTTTTAGAAATACTGGTCCAGCACAGCTCCAACTTCCCTCACTAGTTCAAGTTCTTGGCCCAGTCCAGTGCAGGTGAGCTGACCTTTGCTGTCTCCCATCATTCTTCTGCAAGAAACGTACTGGTTACATCTAGAAGCCTTCAGACCTTTATGTTCTCCAGAGCTCCATTCCTTCATCTGTTTTGTTTTCTAGATACTGTCCTTGGCATAACCATACTACGTACCTGGGTCCTAGAGGGTAAGAAGCTGCAGAATCACAATCTCTGCACTACATGAGCCTTTTCCAGCAGGGTCTTGGCTAGGTAGTCTTTTTCCCTGTGGAACAGGATTGCCCAGCCTTCCTGTTTCTCAAAGTAGAGATTTAGATCCGATCTGCTGGCATAGACTGTGTATCAACCCAGTGTTTTCTGAGAAGTACTTACTTGTTAATAGTCTCTGATCTAAAAAAAAGTTTTAAAAGTTTTGGTCTTCAGTGAAAAGATTGTCCAAAGGGAATAAATGTGGTTTAGTTTGGACCCTGAGATTAGCATGGTGCTAATAACACCATGGTTGTGGGTTCAGTCCCTGTACAGGCCATTCACTCTATGATCCTGGTGGGTCCCTTCCAACTGAGAAAATTCTGTGCCTCTGTGATTATATTACCTTGTTCAAACCTTTTTGTATCTTGCATCAAAATTGTCAGAGTAAATTAGGAACTTCAGGGGGCAAAAACTATGTTCAAGACAATTTGCAGTTATGTGACAAGAGACCGGTGCCATTTGATATGAAAATCTGTAACTTTGAAAAGTGGATCATGAGAATTCACTCCTAGGCTTTTACAGAATCTGTAAACTTACACAAGATGCATATTGTTACTATCTTGTGGGATCAAATGCACTGATGGGCTGTCTTAGACAAGAAATCATAGATGCTGCAACAGTAGTAGTGTATATATGATTGTAATATATATATGTTTTTAGTAAAATCCAGGCAACAGCTCAACTTTAAACAACCATCTTGACCCAAGACACTGCAATAA